CCTCTCCTCAGCTTCCTCCTCACCTCCCCTCTCCTCTCCTCACCTTTCCTCCTCACCTCCCCTCTCCTCTCCTCACCTTTCCTCCTCAGCTCCCCTCTCCTCTCCTCACCTTTCCTCCTCACCTCCCCTCTACTCACCACTCCTCATCTCATCACCTTTCCTCTACCCCCTTCTTCGCCTCACCTTTCCTCTCACATCCCTTCCTCGCCTCACCTTTCCTCTCGCCTCCCTTCCTTGACTCACCTCCCCTCTCACCTCCCTTACCTCTCTCCTCTCACCTCACCTTCCCTCCTCTCCTCTCACCTCACTTTCCCTCTTCTCCTCTCACCTCACCTTCCCTCCTCTCCTCTCACCTCACCTTCCCTCCTCTCCTCTCACCTCAGCTCTCTTCTGCTACCAGCCTATTCACAAACAACCTCCTCAGTACTTCCATCTCGGCACAGCCCCACCTCGCACGCCCTTGCCCGCTGCTGCCCTTTCCCCCTCGGCGCCCCTGCTGTTAACTCGCCCAGTCTCCCTCAACGCTCGCCCCTCCACACCCTCACTCCCACCTGCCTTCCCTCCTCGTTGCACTCGCGCAGTGGAAGCATCGGGAGTGTTTGGCGGCGCATGCGGGCCGGTAAAAGGGGTTCTCTCACTCCTGCTCCTCACCATCCCTCCTCCTTCCACACTCGCCCTTAGCCCATTCCCCCGCACTCCCTCCCCTCTCTCCCTCGCCCCACCCCCACCACACTCCATAGAAAGCTTCCTGCTCCCCGCCCTCCCTTGCGGCTGAGACTCGGCCCGAACCAGCTTTCCGAGCCTGCTGCTTGAAGCTGAGCCTGGAGGTACCAGACCTGACTTTGGCTTTGCAGCTGTCCGAGCCTTTTCAGCTGTGGCGGTGCTGGTGGTGGTGGTTCCGTGGTTGAATACCCCTCCCACTCGGAATATGCTCCCACTCCTGTCACTTGCCCTCCCCTTCCCATTCTCACTCCCTTTTTCACCCTCCCTCTCCTTCTGTTGCACCTCCCTCTGCTGCTGCTCCTCCTCTGCCTTTTCCTCCGCTTCCTCCTCCTCCCCCTCCCCTGCATGCATGTCCTTCGCCATTAAAACGACCCTTTCAACGGTTGAAGCCGCGTCAGCAGCAGCAGCATCGCCATCAGTAGAAGCAGCAGCAGGAGTAGAAGCAGCGGCGACAGCAGCAGCAGCAGCAGCAGCGGTGGGGGTGGAGGGCATGGAGGCATAGGGAGAAGCAGGGGCGGAGAAGAACTGCTGTACCTCCTCATACTCCTCTTCTCCTCCCTCTCCCTCCTCCACCTCCGCATTCTCCTTCTCTCCCTCTGCGCAACCACTGCCATCCTTCCTTTCACAGTCAACGGGGACAGCAGAGGCTCGGCCAATCGGCAGGGCTAGCAGCGGCACCACTTCCGAACCTCTCCCGTCCCTCCCTATTCCCAGAGACAGCTTCCTTGCCCCGCCGGCCAATGCTGCAGCACCATTAACACTGCAACTGCTGCTTCTTTCCCCAACATCAATAACACTGTAAGCAGTGTTACCAGCACCACCACCATTGCCACCACCGCCGATCGCCACTCCCCGCCCTTCCTCCTCAACCGTCCCCATCTTCTCCCACGCGCGCGCCCCATCCGTCCCCGCGCCCCAGTACTTGGGCACTGCGCCATACACGTTTCCCCTGATCCGCGCAACCACCCTCATCTCCCCCCTGCCCGGGGGAGAGGGCGTCAATCCCACGGGCGACCCCAGCAGGGGGAGCCCCATCCGCCAAAGTCCGGGCTCCGCGGGTGCGCCTGCGCCTCCGCCTGCCCCTCCCCCTGCAGATACGGCGAGTTTTGCCGTGAGGGGGGTGTTGGGCTCGGGGGAAGCGGAAGGGGACGCGGAGGGCGAGGGGGTGCGGCGGAGGGCGGAGGTAGATGCCTGCACCGCGCGGCTGAGGGCGGAGATCTCCGCGGACTGGTGGGACAACTGGAGAGGGGGGGTTTGGGTGGGGGGAGGAAGCGTGTTAGGGGAAGGGCAGGGGGAGACGAAAATAGGCTTTCAAAGGGGCGTACGAATGAACGGCGGATTTCATATGAATGCGCGCACACGAGAACTCAAGGCATGGCGTGAAGGCATGGCATGGCGTGAAGGCAATGATAAGGTGCGGCCCGAGCGGCTCACCACGGCCCAACGATCCATGTTCATATTGGGAGTAGCAGCAAATCTAGAGCGGCTCACCACGGCCATCAGCTCCTCCATCCCCGCGCTTCTCGCACCGCCTGCCTCCTCTTCTGCCTTCCCTTCGGCTCCCTCGTCCGCCTTTTCCTCCGCCTCCTTCTCCTTCTTCTCCGCGTCCTCCTCTTCCCTGGCTGGCTTCCCCGCACCCGCGCCATTCTGGCTGCCACGTGTCAGCTCCTGAATGGCCTCCGTCTGTCTGAGAACGAGGGCTTTGAGCTCCGCAATGTGCGCCGCCTGCATCTCCATCAGATCCTGCGGGGCGAGGCGGGCATTGGCGGAAGACATGCATTGCGGAAGAAACGCATTCGCGGAAGACACGCATTGGCGGAAGACGCTTGGCGGAAGACACGCATTGGCGGAAGACGCGCATTGGGGAGAGACACGAATTGGCGGAAGACGCGCATTGGCGGAAGACGCGCGTCGGCGGAAGACGCGCATTGGCGGAAGACGCGCATTGGCAAAAGACGCGCATTGGAGGGAGACGCGCATTGGGGGGAGATGCGCATTCACAATGCGTAAACGAGCAGAGCGGGGATGAGCGCAGCTGGGGGACATGCCACAGCAACACGCTGCAGGACAAGCAGAGCCAAATCATGTGCAATAACGGAACAGGAATGACACATCCATACGGAAAGAAGCTGTAATAATCAATCGTTTGTCTCACCTTCAGCGCGGAGTTCGACTCAACGGCACTGGTCAGAGCCTCCTGAGTCGCGGCTCGCGACGTCTCAACCTCCCCGCACCGGTCCTCCGAGCGTTTCATCTCCTCCACCATCCGTTTCATCTCCGCCTCCATGCGTTTCATCTCCTTCGCTGCGTGCTCTTTCCCTTCGTTCCCACGTTTCATCTCCTCGCCCATGCTCCTTATACGTTCCTCGCTGCCTTTCAATTTCTCCTCCATCCGTTGCATCTCCTCAGCAGCCCGTTTCATCTTCCCACCCATCTCATCCCGTTCCATCTCCACGCGTTTGAACTGTTCCTCCAATAGTTTCGATTCGAGGTCCTTGGCCTGCAGTAGCTGTTGCACCAGAAGGATGCAAAGAGGAAGACGAAGTACGAAGGAAGGCAAGAATCGATGATCGAATGGAGACAAATAGCATTCTAACGAAGACATAACGAAGAGAATTTGCGTCTGATGCAATTATAACGGCTCATTATCTCGCCAAGATGACAACAACGAGCGTCTGCGACAGTTACAAGCGTGTGTGAACGAGTCTTCAGCACTTACCTGCGAATCATCACCGCTCGCTTTCGCGGGACTCGGACCACCTTCTGCGACGCGTGCGACGCCCGACGACGGGCTGGCGACGGGCGACGAGACGACAGATCTGGGCTGCTGCGATCGCAAGGCGACGAGCTTCTTGCGCAAAGAGCGCGCATCCGCGTCCTTTGCGCGGATCAACTTGCGGATCCGCGCGAACTCGCGTTTCATCTGCGTCCTGGCCGTCGATACCGCCTTCCACGTCATCGTGAGAATCAACGCGCGCTGCGGAGGGATAAGATTAGAAAGAAAGACAAAGTAGACTTTGAGACACATGTCATTCTGATGTCAGACTCACGAGCATCGTAGCAGGCTGATACATGCAGCAAACTGCGTCAAGAGTTGATAAACTGATGCTTTCGCGAGGTTCAACGACGGACAGAGCGGACTAGGCGCTCACGTAGACGGGCGGGATGCTCAGCCAGGATTGTCGTTCATCTTCCGTCAACACGCCGCTAGCTCCGACGTTTTCCGTCAACGCTTCCACGTTCTTCAGCTGTCCGTCAAGGGACATCCACGCCAAGCTTACTCCCCTCCCTGCTCCGTTGTGCAGCTGCCGAGTCTGTGGCGGAAAGCTTTCCGCCAAAGGGGGTAAAGGCTGCAGCGACGCGCGCACGGGGAGCCCGTGGAAATCCGCCACGTCCGCAAGAAACTCCCCCTCGTCCGGCAGCATGGCGGAAAAATCCCCCGCGCTTTCCGCCAGGGCGGAGGTCCGCCGCTGGCTGGTCCGCGACGGGGGCGGAAACGCCAAAGCTGCGGACGACGAGGAGACGCTGCCGTCAACACTACCGGCGAAGCTTAACGACGTTCGTCGAGATGACGGAGCGGAACCGAGTCCGACGGCAGACGAACTGGTGTAGTTTGCGAGAAACGGAGGAGTGCCGGAGATGGACTGACGGACGGATGCGGAGAGTCGGGGCGGCACGATAGGTACGGAAGGCACGAGCTCTGTTGCCTTGAGCGTGTTCGGCGGTAACACCTCGACTAAAGATTGCGTGCTTTGCGGAGGGATCGCACCTGCAGGCACCGACGTGTTCCGCCTGTTGTTCTCGTTAACGCTCTTCACCCCAAGCGCGGACATAACGGTTGATTTTCCCGACGGGAAGGAAAAGAAGGAATTGTCGGAAAAATCCTGTAGCGCGGATCGACCGGCGGATCTGCCGGTTGGCGGGTAGCCCGACTTGACGGAGCCGTCAAACCATTGCGTGACGGCCGCAAGACCCACCGGATGCACCTCCTCGCTGCGGGTAACGGTTTCCACGGGTAGTGGAAGCGCGGGGGTGGTGACGTCAGCGAGAAGAGTGGAGGAAGGCTTTGAGAGAGATGGGGAGTAGGGAGAGGCGTTTTCGTCGTTGAAGCGGGAGGAGAAGGAGAGCTTGTTCTGCATCCTGCCAGGTCTCCGACCACTGCGCTTTGCTGATACGGTCGCCATTGTTATAAGCTACGACGCGGAATTAGGTGACGGGAAATGACTAAAGAAAGCGTGACGACTGATTACATCTACCGTGGAGATCACACAGAAAAATCACTAGACAGAATTTGATTTAGCTACGGAGAATACGAGCATAACTGAATCAAACAGCGAGACTACTGAAATGAAAAGTCTAAATTCGGCGATGGTGAGAACGGCAATAGAAACTGCGGGCTTCGTTAGCTACGGTGTGCTGGAGACGTGAAATCAAGGCCTAGATCTGCAAGTGCGATTGGAGAAGAGGAGACGAGGGTCTGGTCTGGTCTGCCTCATGGAATTCCCTAAATTATGACTGGCGCGCCGCGGTCTACAGCGAGGAGAACGAGTCGCTGCAGACATTCAAATATTTGAGAGCGGTGCGTGTTTGGGCGGGAACGACATTTGAAATGTCTGACAGAAATCATTCGCCCCCAAAGCTCCCACCCTTTTGCCTTTGCAGGGAACACTACACCAATAAAAAAGTCATTAGACAAATATAAACGAATGTTACTCCTGAATCGGAAACGAGAAGCCTTGTAAAGCACCACGTTTCGCGAGCTTTGTGATTTGAGGTATGACCCTTCACTCAGCAAGATCAAGGTTGCTCCGTTCAGTGAATCTCCTCCATTCAAGCTAAACGTCGAAGTACTTCATTAGCAGCTCCTTGTCCGTATCTCTGTCCACATTTTCAAAGAGAGGTCGCGACGTTCTTTTTCCTGCATCGACGTTTCGAATCGCTGTGGTTTCGCAGGCTCCTTTTCACGAATCTCCATGTGTAGCCCACGTTCATCCTCCGCATATGGCTAGATTGCTTTGCCAGTCTGACCAGGCAGTCTTGCTCGAACGGCTCTTTACGGCCACTTAGCTTTTCTCGCAATGTCATTTGAACTCGTACCCGAGTACTGTGCGTAGTTTGCACGCTAGAGCGACGAGGCGACGCCAGGCTGGCCCCATGGATGGGGCCGTCGTTCGGCTCATGCGACAAAAGGTGCCGCGGATCGTCGCATTCCCCGTCGCACTCTTCCTGGGAGTCGCACTGCTGCTCGTCACCCGCCAGCCAGCGGAGATCGCGCGAGTAGAGGATCTCTTCGAGGCATCCCCTCCCACCGCTCTCTTAAAGCTTCCTCCACCGTCCGATGCTTCACCAGCTTTTCGCCCACCGTCTGATGCTTCAGCAGCTCTCCCTCCGCCGTCCGATGTCCCACTGCGAGAAACTCACGGAAAGTCGAGCAATATCCAGGTTGCCAATCGGGAAGACAGCGAGCAGGTCGACGGGACGACGACACAACCGAGTCCTAGCTCACATGACAGTAGCGAAAGTACTCGTCCCGTTAGAAGCACATCCAGCGAAGCTAATAGCGAGAATAAACGCGATCAAGATGGTGAGGCCGGGCAGTGCTGGGACGGGCGCGTGCGCGTGTACGTGCACGAGCTGCCACGTCGGATGAACCTGGGGCTGATGGAGCCCAAGTGGAAGACGCGGCAGGAGCAGCGCACGAACCGCAGCATGGACGAACCGCCCATCCCGCCGTGGGGGTGGCCGGCGGGCGGCGACGTGCATCCCACGGCGTGGCAGCACAGCCTCGAGTACTTCCTGCTCGCCGACCTGCTGCAACCTCAATCTGTACGTCCCTGAGACATGCTGCATGCCCTATACCTCCTGTTGAGACGCGCCGCAACCACCCTCCGAATGCCCGTGTGAGAGGTGACATGCGGCGACGTGCACCCCACGGCGTGGCAGCACAGCCTCGAGTACTTCCTGCTCGCCGACCTGCTGCAACCTCCCTCGGTACGTCCCTGAGACATGCTGCATGCCCTATACCTCCTGTTGAGACGCGCCGCAACCACCCTCCGAATGCCCGTGTGAGAGGTGACATGCGGCGACGTGCACCCCACGGCGTGGCAGCACAGCCTCGAGTACTTCCTGCTCGCCGACCTGCTGCAACCTCCCTCGGTACGTCCCTGAGACATGCTGCATGCCCTATACCTCCTGTTGAGACGCGCCGCAACCACCCTCCGAATGCCCGTGTGAGAGGTGACATGCGGCGACGTGCACCCCACGGCGTGGCAGCACAGCCTCGAGTACTTCCTGCTCGCCGACCTGCTGCAACCTCAATCTGTACGTCCCTGAGACATGCTGCATGCCCTATACCTCCTGTTGAGACGCGCCGCAACCACCCTCCGAATGCCCATGTGAGAGGTGACATGCGGCGACGTGCACCCCACGGCGTGGCAGCACAGCCTCGAGTACTTCCTGCTCGCCGACCTGCTGCAACCTCAATCTGTACGTCCCTGAGACATGCTGCATGCCCTTTACCTCCTGTTGAGACGCGCCGCAACCACCCTCCGAATGCCCGTGTGAGAGGTGACATGCGGCGACGTGCACCCCACGGCGTGGCAGCACAGCCTCGAGTACTTCCTGCTCGCCGACCTGCTGCAACCTCAATCTGTACGTCCCTGAGACATGCTGCATGCCCTATACCTCCTGTTGAGACGCGCCGCAACCACCCTCCGAATGCCCGTGTGAGAGGTGACATGCGGCGACGTGCACCCCACGGCGTGGCAGCACAGCCTCGAGTACTTCCTGCTCGCCGACCTGCTGCAACCTCAATCTGTACGTCCCTGAGACATGCTGCATGCCCTATACCTCCTGTTGAGACGCGCCGCAACCACCCTCCGAATGCCCGTGTGAGAGGTGACATGCGGCGACGTGCACCCCACGGCGTGGCAGCACAGCCTCGAGTACTTCCTGCTCGCCGACCTGCTGCAACCTCAATCTGTACGTCTCTGAGACATGCTGCATGCCCTATACCTCCTGTTGAGACGCGCCGCAACCACCCTCCGAATGCCCGTGTGAGAGGTGACATGCGGCGACGTGCACCCCACGGCGTGGCAGCACAGCCTCGAGTACTTCCTGCTCGCCGACCTGCTGCAACCTCAATCTGTACGTCCCTGAGACATGCTGCATGCCCTATACCTCCTGTTGAGACGCGCCGCAACCACCCTCCGAATGCCCGTGTGAGAGGTGACATGCGGTGACGTGCACCTCCCAGGGTTTGGCAGCACAGCCTCGAGTACTTCCTGCTCGCCCACCTGCTGCAACCGCCCTCGGTGCGTTAAAGGATGAAACATGACTTGCTGTAACCTCCCTCCGTACGTCTGTGAGACATGTTGCATGCCCCTCTGTACCTGCTTATGAGACCCGCTGCATACCCCCCCTCCCCCCACCCGATTTCCGTGTGACAAATGACTTGCTGCATGCCCCTCCATCCATGTTTCTCATCTGAAGTAACCCTGTGCTCTCCACAGAAGAGAGACCCAGGAGTGGCGGCAGTGAGGGTGAGCGATCCCGCACAGGCGGACGTTTTTATCTTTCAATGTAGCCCTGTGCGTTCCCTCCCTGTGCATCCTTCCCTGTGCATCCCTCCCTGTGCATCCCTCCCTGTGCATTTCTGCCCGTGCATCAACAGAAGAGAGACCCGGGTGTGGCAGCAGTGAGGGTGAGGGACCCCGCACAGGCGGACGTATTTCTCGTGCCCTTCTTCGCCTCCACCATGGTCAACCTGCTCCGACGGAAGAACTTCTCCACTTACAATGATCTCGCGGTATTGTACTCTCAACCCCAACACTACGTCCTCGTTATAGACATGTCATGGTTCCCATGCCCTTCTCACGTCCACCATGGTTAACCTGCTCATGGTGGTGTGTTGCTCCTACAAGGTTCCTACAATTTCCGCACCTACAAGGCTCTAGCGATGTGTTGCTCCAGTAGATCGCGCCTCCAACACTGAGTCCTCGTTATAGAGCTATCATGTTCCAACATGGTCAAATTGCCTTTTCTACCTTGTTACCTTCCACCACGGTCAAATTGCTAGCCCCTCACGACTCCTCCGTTCGCCCACCTCACCCCAAATTGCCATACCCCACCGAACCCCACCGCACTGCACCAGATGGAGATGGCGGAGCTGATGAGCGCGTCTCCCTGGTGGCAGCGCAGAGGGGGGAGGGACCACGTGCTGTGCGTCACCCACTCTTGACGCGCTTAAGAATTAAACCCTCCCACCCACCTCACCCTGCCACACTCCACCTCATCCCGCCTCACCCCACCGAACCCCACCACACTGCACCAGATGGAGATGGCGGAGCTGATAAGCGCGTCCCCCTGGTGGCAGCGGCGGGGAGGAAGGGACCACGTGCTGTGCGTGACCCACCCCAACGCCCTTGAGACCGTGCGGCACTACATGGCTGGCGCTGCCTTCGTTGCTGTTGACTTCGCCAGGTGGGAAACATGTGGGGTACAGGCGAAGGGTTGGGTTTGATAAGGGAACACTCACCCCAACGCACACCCACCCCAATGCTCTCGACTCATGGCTGCCGCTGCCTTCGTTGTTGTGGACCTCGCTAGGTGGGTCAGGAGGGGAAAGCAGAGGTAGTATGGGTGAAAGGGCGAGGAGGAGGAGCAGCAGAGAGCAACCTTGAAACCGCGTGCACCACGTGGCTTCTGTTGCTTTCGTCGCTGTTGACCTCGCCAGGCGGTTCAAGGGGGGAAAGCAGGGGTAGTATGGGTGGAAGGGCGAGGAGGAGCAGCAGAGGGCAACCTTGAAACCGTGCGCCACCACGTGGCTGCTGTGCTGTTGTCTTGGTCGTTGTTGACCTCGCCAGGTGGGTCAGGAGTGCCAGCAGGTGCAAGACGGGTGGAAGGGCAGTAGGGGTAGCAGGGTGAAAAGGGAAAGCACGTGCCTGCTGTACAGGGACTCGGACCTGCTGTAATGGTAGTGGTAATGGTAATGGTAATGGTAATAGTAATGGTAGTGGTAATGGTAATGGTAATGGTAATAGTAATGGTAGTGGTAATGGTAATGGTAGTGGTTATGTCAATAGTAATGGTAATGGTAATGGTAATGGTAATGGTAATGGCAATGGTAATGGTAATAGTAATGGTAGTGGTAATGGTAATGGTAGTGGTAATGTCAATAGTAATGGTAATGGTAATGGCAATGGTAATGGTAATGGTAGTGGTTATGGTTATGGTAATGGTTCGTGCCTGCTGTACAGGGGATTCGGACCTGCTGAACTGACCTCACCACCCCCTGTACACTCCTGCACTGCACACCTTGCCCCTAGCGCAGGTACGAATGGGGGGAGTGGATCTGCACAAGGACATCATAGCGCCTAACAGTGCCAAACCTACCTTCCCCCGTTCCCACACTCCTGGCCCCACTCCAGGTACGAACCGGGGGAGGCGAATCTGCACAAGGACATCATAGCACCATACAGGGCCAAGCTCACCTCCTCCGCATTCTCAACCTTGTTTTCTGCCTGCCCCTAAACCAGGTACGAACCGGGGGAGGCAGATCTGCACAAGGACATCATAGCACCTTACGGGGCGCTGGTGGAGACTTACACTGCGGAGGCGGAGAGGCAGGATGCTCAAGGGGGGCTTGCAGGAGGCAGGAGAGGAGGTTCGGCAGCGGCAGCCGAAGCAAAAGCTGAGGCTGGGAACCGCCTGAGGAAGGGGAGGAATGGGGGTGGAGATAGGGAGGGAGGGGAGGAGGAGGTAGATAGAGAAAGGAGGAAGAATAGCAGGGAAGGAGCAGTGGAGGAGGAAGGGGGAGAGGAAGAGGGTGAGGAGGAGAAGGAGAAGGTGAAGGGGAAGGGGGAAAAGGGGGAGGAGGGTAAGGAGGAGGAAGAGGAGGAAAAGGGAAGGGCGGAAACCGGGAAGGGGAAAAAGGTGGCAGAGGAGGGTGAGGAAGATGGTGACGAGGAGAAGGCGAAGGTGAAGGGGAAGGGGAAGGGGAAGGGGGAAAAAGAGGAGAAGGAGGATGGAGATGAGGAGCGAGAGAGGAGGCGATTGGTGGGTGAGCGGAGACAACTGGTGGGTGGGGGGGGATCCGATACGAAGGAGGTGGAGAGTGGGGAAGAGGAATTGGGAGATGGTGAGAAGGAAGGGAAGGGGAAGGAAGGGGAGGACGGGGAGGAAGGCGAGGCTGGGAGTGAGGAGGAGGAGGGCGATAGTGGTGAAAGGGACGGACAAAGGGAGGCAGGAGCGGTAGGAGCAGCAGGTAGCAGAGCAGGAGCAGACGGTGCTGCTGCTGCTGCTGCTGCTGCGGGTATGGGAGGGGGGGATGCGGGTGTGTTTGCGCGACGCATCACACTGCTCTACTTCCAGGGCACTCTGCAACGCAAGGATGTGAGTGCGAGGGGACAAATGTGAGTGCTCTGGGGTGGGATAAAGTGTTGCTGCTGCTGCTGCTGCTACCGTGGGTACGAGAGGGTCAGATGCGGGTGTGTTTGCGCGGCGCGCGGCACTGCTCTACTTTCAAGGCACGCTGCAACGAAAGGATGTGAGTGCGTGGGGTAGAAGGTGTGAGTGCGTGGGTTGTGAGTGCGTCTGTTTCTGAGTCGACTCAACCACAGTGTTTGCACGGCACACTACACTGCTCTACTTCCAGGGCACGCTGCAACGAAAGGATGTGAGTGCGTGGGGACAACGGGAATGCGTGGTTACAGGGGGAGGTGATTTGCATGTGAGGGAGGCTGCTTCTCCCCCCATCTTCTGACTCTCTGCCTGTCCTCTCTCCTCTCCCATTCCCCCTTATCAGCGGCGAATGGCCCTATTCGACGAGCTACAGGGGGAGGAGGACGTGCATGTGCGGGAGGCTGTCTCTTTGCGCGACCCTGCCCGCCCCTTATCATTCTCTGCCTTCCCTGCTACCCCTCTCATCTCCTCCTCTCCTCAGCGGCGCAAGGCTCTATTCGACGAGCTACAGGGGGAAGCGGACGTGCATGTGCGGGAGGCTGCAGGGTCCAGCCAGTCAATACGCGATGTGAGTGCTTTTACTGTTATGCACGCTCGTTCTGCCTCGTGTTATTCACACTTGGCCTCATGCCGTACACATTTGGCCTCATGCCGTACACCTTTGGCCTCATGCCGTACACCTTTGGCCTCATGCCGTACACCTTTGGCCTCATGCCGTACACCTTTGGCCTCATGCCGTACACCTTTGGCCTCATGCCGTACACCTTTGGCCTCATGCCATGCACCTTTGGCCTCGTGTCATGCGCACATGCCCTTCCTCTTTCCACCAACTCCACATTCTCAAATGACCACTCTATTATGTGACACCCGCCACTCCCCAAAGGGCATGCAGCGGTCACGCTTATGACTGCACGTGGAGGTCGGCGCGTCACCCACATACCCTCCTCCTACTTGCCACTCCAAATTCTAGCATTCTTCCGTCACTCTCTGTGCGTGTCCAACCCCCCTCTTTGCTTTTCCCGCAGTCCCAGGAGGGCATGCGGCAGTCGCGCTTCTGTCTGCACGTGGAGGGTGACACGCCGTCCTCTTCCCGGTTCTTCAACGCCATCATGAGTGGCTGTGTGCCGGTGGTCGTCAGCGATCACGTGGAGCTGCCCTTTGAATCTGCGATCGACTACTCGCGGCTCGCGCTCTTCTTCTCTCAAGAGGTGAGCCTTCAAAAGGGAGAGGAGTGGCTGCGTGCGTGCCTCCCCTCGTTTCTTCAACGCCATCATGAGTGGCTGTGTGCCGGTGGTCGTCAGCCACCACGTGGAGCTGCCCTTCGAATCAGCTATAGACTACTCTCGACTCGCTCTCTTCTTCTCCCAGGAGGTGAGCCCCTTACTGTCATTGAAAGGGAGAAGGGTGCGTGCCTCTTCCCGGTTCTTCAACGCCATCATGAGTGGCTGTGTGCCCGTCGTCGTCAGTGACCACGTGGAGCTGCCATTCGAGTCAGCTGTCGACTACTCGCGCCTCGCGCTCTTCTTCTCTCAAGAGGTGAGTCCTCCTCCTACATGCTTCAACGCCATCATGAGCGGCTGTGCCCTCTTCTTCTCCCAGGAGGTGAGCCGCTTCTAAAACTCCTCTGTTTATAATGAATTCCTGTGTTCACTTGACTTCCTCGTTTCTTCCTTCCCCATTGCTGCCCCTCCACTCCTCCCAGGACGCCCTAGTCAAAGGCCGTCTGGTTTCCGCACTGCGCCAGGTGTCGGAGCAGGATTGGCTGGCGATGTGGCACCAGGTGCATCGAGTGCAGAAGCACTTCGAATTCCAGGTATGTTACTATTTCCATGCCTGTTCCGTACCTGTCATGTCTGTTACTGTACCTGTTCCCATACCTGTAACCGTGTCTCTCCCTACCCCTGTCCTCATGCCTGTTCCCATGCCTGTTCTACATCCTGTCCCCATGTCTGTCCCCATGCCTGTTCCCGTGCCTGTTCCCATGCCTGTTTCCATGCCTGTTCCCACCCCTGTTCCCACGCCTGTCCCCATAACCCAACAGCAACCAGTGCAGGCAGGCGATGCAGTGGATATGGTGTGGCGGGAGGTGGCTGTTTCAATACCTGTTTCCGTGCCTGTTCCCATGCCTTTCATCGCTGTACCCATAACCCAACAGCAACCAGCGCGGGCAGGAGACGCGGTGGACATGGTATGGCGGGAGGTGCGCAATCGGCTGCCCAGCATGCACCTCATGGCCAACCGCGATACACGCCTCACCATCCCCGACTGGAGTGCCTGATATGGTAGCGGCATGTGGTTCCTTCCTTGATCCTGATGGATGGTGGTGCCTGAATCTGAGCATGCACCTCATGGCGCACCGCGACACACGCCTCACCATCCCTGACTGGAGTGTCTGATGGAGTCATGATGGTAGCTGCATGCGGTTTTCTTCCTCCGGTCTCCCTGGATGCATGGTTGTCTCTGAATGTGCGCTGCGCACCTGGCTGTGCAGCACGGGACACATGCCACACTGGGACACACGCCTCACCATCACCGACTAGAGTGCCTGATGCTGGTCTGATGGTCACCAGCAGGCAGGTGGTTCCTCCCATGGTTGAGCTATGGCCCCCCATTCATTGACTTTTATAGTGCAAATCTCAGTAGGTACGGTAGGTTTATACAGAAAACACCTCATATGTACACCCATTCTTGATGCAAATAAGCTCTATAAGCAATAACCTAAATACCTATGTTATGCACATCACAAGAGTATCAAGCCCTGTTCCATAACTGATGTATTATCTCACATCCACACTCCCCCCCAACTTATACACCCATACCAACCTTCACGTCATGGTCAGCATCATCATCCTTATCATCTTCCTCATCACTATCACCATCCTTATCATGCTTTTCCTCCCCATCACCATGTTTGTCCTTGCCATGCTCATCCTCCGTATCCTCCTTATCCTCATCGTCCTTCTCATCATCCTCTTCACCGTGCTTGGAAGTTTTTCTCTTGGGATTGTCACCATGCTCATTACTATGCCCATCATGCTCACTATCATGATTGCCCTCATCCGCTCCCTCGTGGTCATGGTCATCGTGGTCCGCATCCTCATCATTGTGCTCATGCTCATGCCCTTCGTCATGGTCATGGTCATGGTCATGGTCATGGTCATGGTCATGGTCATGGTCGTGGTCATGGTCGTGGTCATGGTCGTGGTCATGGTCATCCTGATCCTCATGCTCATGGCTGTGGTCATGGTCATGGTCATGGTCATGGTCATGGTCATGGTCGTGGTCATGGTCATGGTCATGGCTATGGTCATGGTCATGGTCATGGTCATGGTCATTCTTATGAGCATCAGCATCATCTTTATCATCATCACCACCACTACCATCCCCATGCCCATGCTTGTCAAAAAGCGCTCCAATCCCATCACCGTAACCACTATCACCATCAGCAGCAGCACCACCACCACCAGCACCGCCCTTCCCCTTGCGCGTTTGCCACTTGTGCCGGGCCTTGGAGTATTTCTTCCTCAGCTTCACACAGTGCTCAAGCCCTTCCCGCACCCACCCCCGTGCAATCCGCAGCTGCTGCTTCGCTCGCTTTAAGTCTGCAGAGCATGTGGCTAGACCCGCTGATGCTGCTGCTGCTGCTTCTGGGGCTGAGGGACATGGGGAAAGGTGGAAGGGGGTAAGTGGAAGGGGAGACGAGGAGGTACAGGATTTTTGAGAAAGGAGAGGAACCAGCGGCTGCACAGCTATTGAGTTAATGAACAAAGTGTGACAAAGCTAATCGGATAGCACGCCAGGATATACAGGGCAGCAAACAACCGACCACCATGACCACACAATACCGACCTGCATCCATCTTCATCTGGCTCATCCCTCCTGCCTGCATGTTTCCTAGCCCTCCCAGCGGCTGTTCTGCCTGGGCTGCCTGCGACTGCGACAACCCCCCTCGCTCCGCCCATCGCTTCTCCATCTCTGCGAGCTTCGCTTTCGCCTCGGCGGCCTCCTGATTCGCACGCGACGTCGCATAGTACCCCGTGGCGATTATGCATGCGACGAGTGTGACGAATCCTATCAGAACGCCGACGGGAATCCCCAGTGGACCCTCTGCGGCAAGTCCGGCGCCATTCGCGGCGAAGCGACGCCTTCGAGACAAGACCATTAGTTGAACCGCGTCGTTAAAACTAAGAGATTTACAGACAACCCTGAAGCAGACGACTGCTAAAGGACAAGGTTAACGACTTGGAAAGTGATACTGGGTGAATAGGAGTGACGTACGTTTAGATAAACCAGAGCGCAGACTTGAAGGGATCTTGGGAAAATCGCGTGTGAACTTGCGATAATCCCAAGAAAGTCCATTTGTGAATTTCCAGATGAGTAACAAGCAGCTTCGACATCCTCTTTACATACAGAAGAATGCGGAAGAAAAATTTACATGCTGGCAAGCTGTGAGATACAAATACCAGATTAACCAAAGACTCATTCACCACCCTACCATAATCAGCTGAAAATCATCACATCCAGCCAAGGCCGCACGCATGCAATTATTTGATCCCAGCCTACAACAGGGCCTGTATGGGTGTGTGCAGCAGATACAAGCAGCAGCCACACCTCAATCACATGCCATAATAAACAGCACCCATGAATGGCTCTTGGAATCAAAGTCCTGTGGGTTGCGCACGCACGCGGCACAAACAGTGGGTTACACACGCTTCCCCTTGGCTGCGTCCAACAGTGGCCACAGCTCCACGCGCTGCTCGAAAAAAACGCCTCTTCTGAATGGCTGGCATTACTCCAGAGGCCAGTCTTGAGGGTTACGTGGCACAAACACGGGCTTTCCTTTTGCTGCATCCAACAGCGGCCACAGCCCCACACGCTGCTGGAAAAACACTTCCAGTGCCTGCCCGTCGAATGTGACCTCTGCTGCCTCGTCCCCGTCTGCTGTTGCACCCAGCCCGCTCTGCACTGTGAGCGTCGGCTCCCACTTCTCCCTACCGCGCTGTATCGCACTGAACACCTCCTCCTTGGCCACTCCGGGTAGGCCCAGAAACTGAGCCAGAGCAGTGGAGGCAGTCTGGGGTAGCAGATCAACAGAATGGAAGAGAGGGGAGGCAGAGGGCACATTGAGAGCATGGAAGCATAAAAGTGTTCGAATCCAGAGGATACATACACAGAAATGCACGATGCGCACTATTTAACGCACCACCATGCTAACCTCTCCCAGCCGAGCCTGGGGCCCCACACCCTAACCATCGGCCTTCCCACATAAACAGTACTTCCCATGCTGCTCCCCCTACCTTGGGTCTCTTGACCAGTGCATCCACATCGATGAGGCTGAAGGTGCCGCATGGGAGCGTCCTGAGAGAGGCATCGATGTAGACCATGCTGTCCTCTATCAGCCTCGCCTGCAGCCCCACACCCTGATCATTGGTTTCCCCACTTATGCTCTTCACATGCTCCTCCCTACCTTGGGTCTTTTGACAAGCGCATCGACATCAATGAGGCTAAACGTGCCGCATGGGAGTGTCCTGAGGGACCATGCTGTCCTCGATCAGCCCCACACCCGCCCGTCAGTCTTGCCATGCTCCCTACCTTGGGTCTCTTGACCAGGGCATCAACGTCAATGAGGCTAAACGTGCCGCACGGGAGTGTCCTGAGGGAGGCATTGATGTAGACCATGCTGCCCTCTATCATTCCCCCACCCTGCCAATCGGTCTGCCCACATGCTCCTCCCTACCTTGGGTCTCTTGACAAGCGCATCGACGTCAATGAGGCTGAACGTGCCGCAAGGCAGAGTCCGGAGCGAGGCATCGATGTAGACCATGCTGTCCTCGATCAGCCTCGCCTGCAGCCCCACGTCGTCGTTGTGGAAGCGCCGCAGCACCGACCAGAGGACGGTGTCTGTGAGGTTGCGCACTAGCACCACGAGCTGCAGGGCAGAGAGGAAGGTTGGGAGAGAAGGTTGTGACGTGCCAGACGAGCAGAGGAGAGATGATAAGAATTGTTGGGCTTTCAGGATAAAGTGTTGCTGTGCAAGCGCCGCAGCACGGACCAGAGCACCGTGTCTGTGAGGTTGCGCACTAGCACCACGAGCTGCAAGGGGAAGGGAGGGGGAGAGGGGAGAGAGGGTCCCGTGCAAGACAAATAGGGGGAGGATGAAAAGAGCCGCAGCAAGGACCACAGTGCCGCGTCTGTCAGGTTTCGCACGAGAACCACGAGCTGCAGGGGGGAAATGGGGGCGAGAGAGAGGCAGGGTGTGAGGGCGTCACCAAAAAGGGGGGCAAGAGAGCGGGTGCCATGCACAAAGGGCAGGGCTGTAATGAAGGGAGCGGTGAGAAGAGAAGGAAGGGTGAGGAGCGCTCATACCTTGAGGTTGTACAGGATGCCATGGAATGTGGCGAGCGAGATGAGGTCGGGGCGAGCCAGCGGCGTGCGAATGCGCCCCATGGGGAAGGGGTCCCTGGCACGCAAGTAGTAATTTGTGTCCTGCGCACAGTGATGGGGAGTAAGCGGAAGAGAACAGTAGAAGGAGGTGATTGAGCGTGAATGAACTTTGGCATGTTCGGATGCGACCCATCCCGTGGGGAAGGGGTCCCTGGGTTGCAGGTAGTAGTTGGTGTCCGTTCGAAGAGGGGAAGGTGGGGGAAGGGGGAGGGAAGTGGTAACGCACAGAGCACTGCGTGTATTTGTGGTCAGTGCATGGGCTGGGCAGGCAGGAGTGGTGGAAATGCAAATTTGGAAGTCATAGACATGGGGGGGAGACATAGGGGGGAGAGTAGGGCGCGCGGCAGCTTAGGCGAGTCGACAGTAAGAATTCTCAAGCCATCAGTTAGCTTATCAGCATACAGGCACAAAAAAGGGTTACCTGGAGCTTGGACTTGAGGGCGGACGACATGCGGACACCAAAGTCGTAGACGTGGCGTGAGTAGGGCAGCTTGGGGCAGTCAACTGTTGCGCCGGTGGGGTCCTGTGCTGATGCCACCTTCTGCCCTGGCGATGAGGTCAGGTGCAGGTCAGGGTTGAAGCGGTCTATGCTGATGTTCACTGGCAGGTAGCTGTTGATCAAGTGATAGGGGTGAAAAGAAAGGCAAGGTGCTTCATGTTTGAGAGTAAGGAAGGAGAATTTGAGGTGCAGGTCGGGGTTGAATCGGTCTGTGCTGATGTTCACTGGCAGGTAGCTGGGAGGGCGGAGAGGGGGAGATGGAAAGGGAGGGAGAGAGAGGCAGAAAGGCAGTGGAATGTGCGTGTGAATGTAAGGATGGATTTAAAGGGATCCATGCTATGCTGATGCTTACAGGCAGGTAGCTGTTCTAATAGAAACGAGGCGGTCGGGCAGGTGCGGGATGGGGGAGGGTGTACCTAGAGAGCACGGCGAGCATGTGCAACGAGGTGCAAGGGGGCACCTGAAAATGTACTCAAAGAGGTCGTACGTACCCGCTCCCCTTGGTGCCAAGGAACATGAACAAGCAGGGCAGATGGTCCGCCTCTGCGTGCACGTACGCGTATGGTGTACCGTCTTGCTGTGAGCCCTACCTGAAGATGTACTCAAACAGGTCATGCTCACTTCCTTCAGTGCCAATGAACATGAACATGCGGAGCAGCTGATTCGCCTGTGCGTGGGTATAAATGTAATGTACCTGCGGGCCGAGTGGCAGACTGGCGGGCATGGAAATCCTATCCTACCTGAAAATGTACTCAAACAGGTCGTGGCCGCTCCCTTCAGTGCCGATGAACATGAACAGACGCGGCAGCTGGTCCGCCTGTGCGTGCACGTGCATGGGGTACAATGTACCTGTGGGGTACCTGTGGGGCGAGTGGCAGACTGGCGGATACGGATAACCCACCTGAAGATGTACTCAAAGAGGTCGTGCCCGCTCCCCTCAGTGCCAATGAACATGAACAGACGCGGCAGCTGGTCTGCCTGGGCGTGCACGTGCGTGGGCGGGCGGCACACTGGCGGGAAGAGGTGCGGGCGCCACGGTTTGGTGCTGAGGCGCCACGAGAGGGGCGCGCAGGCGTCTCAAGAACCTACTTATATGACGTGGGGTTAGTGTGCAACAGGCAAGCCCCTACCTGAAAATGTACTCAAACAGATCGTGCCCGCTCCCCTCAGTCCCAATGAACATGAACAGGCGGGGCAGCTGGTCTGCCTGAGCGTGCACGTGCGTGGGCGGGCGGCACACTGGCGGGAAGAGGTGCGGGCGCCACGGCTTGGTGCTGAGGCGCCAGGAGAGGGGCGCGCACGCCAGCAGCACCACCACTGCCAGCGCTGCTAGAAGGGTGCCCCATGCCGAGCCTCCCCTGGGTGCCTTGAGCGGCTCAAATGTGTCCGTTGCTCGCCTGGAGTGAGGGGAGAGGCGGGGATGGGGAGACGGGAGAGGTAGGGGGGTGGAGGAGAGGAGGCAGGGGTTTAAAGGGTGCCTCAGGAAGGTTGGTTGCTGCTGCTGAGTCGCCAGAAGAGGGGCGCTCACGCCAGCAGCACCACCACCGCTAGCGCCGCAAGGGTTCTTCATGCGATCAGGGGACTTTAGCAGGGAACCAAAGAAATATGCCGGGAACTAAAGAATCCGCGGGGTGCCATGCCAATGCGTCTACGTGGCTCATGCCATGAAGCGCGCGTAAGTAGAATTTGTGCAGCAAAAGGATTCGTGCAGTCGGACTAGAATTTGCAGGGAGGGGAATGTCGCTGAGAGCAAGGCAGGAAGGGACACGCCGTTTAAAGTCACAATGAGAGGGATATTGCAACGAAACACAGCACGCAAACGAATCAATGATAGAGGGGACTGGAATGGAGAGGAGAGACGCACGTGGATGGTGGCGCGAGACTCACTTGGGGAGCGGCGAGGAGGCGACCGGCGTGGGTGAGTAGGGCGCTGAGGTCGGCATTTTGTCTCTCCCCACTCGCGCAGCGCGGCGGCGTGAATGTGAGCGTTGTCACTCCCTAATCGGCTAGTACGGAAGGAGTGTACGTGCCGGGTTTATCACTCCTCACTCGAGGATGCCAGTGTCGAACGTGTTTTATCACCCCCTACTCGCGGACCACTGCACGGAAGGAAGCGGGTCAGACGACAGGGCGCGCTGGTGATAAATCTACGAGCGGGGATGACGGGGTTGCAAAGGGGGGAAGCAGAGAGAAGGAGCCGACGAGACGTGCGTGAGCAATTAGAGGCACGGGAGGATGGTAATCGGGACAAGGGTAAGGAAACGACGGGTATGGGAAAGGGCCGACCCGGAGCGACGAAACTGAAAATAGAGCGACGGGCTAGTAGCATTGTCGAAGCGGTACCGCTGGTCGTTAATAAGATTCTAACGTGGGTACCGACTTACTTACATTTCAGTCCTTCACAGAGAAACAGAGCTGACAAGCAATAATTTGTCCGTAATGCGTGACTTCAGAGGCAGTCGCCGGATTAAACTGCTTTGATTACATAAGGTCTGTCGAAGAAGTGAGAACGTTCCGTACAGTCAACCTGAGGTAGTAGGTAAGAGTAGAGCCCCAGGTATTAGGTACGATATGATAGGTTATCAGTGGAATGAGTGGACGGCATTGCGCCAGAGTTTAGCGAAAAAGCGGGGCTGGGAGGCATCAGGGCAAGGCATCAGGCAAAGGTTTCTCGCGATAGCGCGATTTTCGCCAATTTCTCGTTCGATACGGCTTCGCCGGATCGAGTTCTTGTTACATTACTTGACAAATAAAGCTGAATAGAATCCATGTACCGGTAAAAATGATTCTATACAGCTTTGAACACACACCTCACATATCACACAAAAACCACCCTCCCCCTGCAAGAGCTACCACTAATTAAGTAAGTGGTTAGATAAACTAACTTTATATTCGTGCTGATGTCTGAAATCACACCACAAGCCGGTAATTGATATATCTGCCAGCAGTTTCACTGTTTCTGAGAACCTTCACCACCTGCCCTCTGTTGAGACCGAAGTACCGCGCCACCGGATCACTCCTCTGCATGCGGGGCAGCTGGAGAGAGGGAGAGTGAATAAACAAGACGTGTGCAGTGAATTTAATTTTCCACAGATACAATAGGTTATAAGCCCAGAGCACCCACGCACAAATCACTCTTCCGCAATGCAGGGGAGCCGGTGTGAGCGGAAATGGGATGGTGGAATAGGGGGATAAGATATGAATGCAGGAGCGAGTTATTATGGGGCGTGGGGCAGTGGAGGACATAACCATCAAACAAATGGTAGCCAGATAGGTGAAGAAAGAGGAACAGGGGTGGAATAAAGGGGGAGGCTGGCAGGGGGAGGGAGGGGGAGAGGGGAAGAGGGTGTGTGGAAAGAGGGCGCGAAAGATGGACACTGTCAATAACATTTTGTCATAAGAAAAACACTCAAACCAGGCCCATCAGTCACACCTGGTGCTCCTTGACTGTGTATCTCTCCAGCAGAATGTGCTTCTCCTCGTCTGTCAACACCACGTGCTGCGGCACCAACTCATGCTTTGTCACATTCACCAACAGCTCGCCCTCCTGCCATTGTGTGTTAAACAGGGCATGGTTGAATACATGATCAAAACGGCATGAGAATACATGCAGGCCCACAATATACGTTACGAACCTACTAAGGGTAGTCAGCCAACCGCGGCATACTGTCACATGAAACACCCAAAATTCATGCTTCGAGGAAAGTCCACCTGGAAGACCTCGATGACGTACTTGGGCGCCATGTCAGCAAGGATCTTCTTGGAGAAGGGCGTGAGGTTCATTGAATCGGCACCATGTAATTCCCGCCTTAAAACAACACCCATCACCTGAAACACCTGAGAAACGCCTACCTGGAAGACCTCAATAATGTACTTGGGCGCCATGTCAGCAAGGATCTTCTTGGAGAAAGGCGTGAGGTTCTGCTGCACGACCATGATGGCGCGTGAAAGCCCCGACCCCTTCATCTTCTCGTAGTACCCCTTGAGCGTCTTGATGCCCACCTTCGACTCCACCGGGAAGAACACGTAGATCTGTGAGTGTGGGTGCATGAGGGGAGTGTGTGAGATGCAATGGGGATGCAAGGTTGATTAGAAGCATTGAGCGTCTTGATGCCCACCTTCGACTCCACCGGGAAGAACACGTAGATCTGTGAGTGTGGGTGCATGAGGGGAGTGTATGAGATGCAATGGGGATGCAAGGTTGATTAGAAGCATTGAGCGTCTTGATGCCCACCTTCGACTCCACTGGGAAGAACACGTAGATCTGTGCGCGTGAGTGCAGGGGGGTAGTGTGTGACGTGGGCCGAGGATGGGGCGTGTGGGTGTTACGGGAATGGGGAGGGGGAGCGAGAGGGAGGGGTTGGTTGGTGTGAGAGGATAAAAATTGTCTCTTCTTCTAAGGCGCACCAGAAGAAGTTATTCCCACTTTCGCCTCCATTAGGAAGAACACGTAGATATGTTAAATGGGTGCAGGAAAGGTGCGGATTCAGGAAGCGTGTGGGTTCATGCGGAGATGGTGTGAGACGAGACGAGGCTGTGAGAGGAGGAAAAGGAGGAGTGGGATGAGAGGAGACAGGGGGGAGCAAGGTGAGAAAAGGAAAGGGGGAAGTAGGGTGAGATGGTATGGAGTAGCAGGTTTAGAGGAAAGGGGGGATGTGTGAGAGGAGGAAAGGGGGAATAGCGTGAGTGAAGGGAGAGTAGTGCAGGAGGAGGACTTCCACTGCTTTCACCTCTGCTTTCGTGCCCACCTCTGCTTTGTATGCACTTGCTTCAAACAACAGTTAGGGTTTCCCACCTCGTCGCTAGGATTGTCTCTCTTCTGCTTCAGTAGCGTGAGATCGTCTCGTTGAGGGTCGTCCCCGAATTGGTCTCTGAAATCATCCTTGGTCGCTCTGAGCTCGCGATCAGCTACTAGGTACCCGCGATCGTGTAGCATCTGACCAGCCAACACAAATCACGCAGAAATGCTTAATTTACTAAAGATTCAGAAAATGATAGATACGCGTGTGACGTGTATCGCGAAGATAATGGGGTTAGCGGAAAGGGCAGGGGATTTATTGATATTTTAAAAAATTAGAAGATGGATACAGCGGAATGGATTGCGTAACGTGCCGTCCTGATACGTAATGGAGCATGCAGTAGAACGCAACGGACCTCGAAGATTGTCCGTCTCACGCGGAACAGCCTGGACACCGTTTCGTCCCCCATGGCTGGGTGACTATGTGATGACAACGCCGAAGAATACAGCTGAGATGTTCGACTAGACTGCTGGGCGAAAAGTGCGCAGACCAACAGTGTAAGCTGGAATAGGTGTCAAAACAGAGGGCCGATACTAGAATGTAGAGTTGAGCGCACTTCACTTCACCAGCATTTGTAGCCTGCTGGAACTACTATGGAGCAAACTTGGCACGCTTCGACATATTTCCTCTTCCTTTCGACATTATGGTTATCACTATCAGAGCATGCTTCTGCTCTTCTGGTGGACTGTAATCACGAGTTCCCTAATAGCGAACCATTACACTAACACACCAGCGTACAGTAACACATTTCGGCAGAAGCTCTCGCGAACACCATGGATATTCCACGTACGTTCCTCCCCTCAAGCATCTCGGGGGAAAATTTGGAGATTTTGCCACCTAGACCAAGCTCCCACCACAGGCCCCATTCACGTGGCAGTGTTCCACGTCAGCCATTCAGTTCTGCGTCGCAGAACACGTTTTCTGGTGGATCGGGCATTGCAGCCGTGCAATTCGCATCAGAATCATGGCGTGGCCTTTCTCCCAAGGCCAATTCAAGGCTGCCTGAAATTCGCTCATGTATAAAGGCTGTTCCTCCAGTGCACAGATTCCACAATTCACGCTTCATTTCAGCTTCTTCTCCTCGTCTTATACCCCTTTCGGACTAACCATGGCTCGCGCCGTCGCCGCGCATTCCGCGCTCCTGTCTCAACTGGCGGTCCGCAGCCCCGTCGCAGCGAGCCACGTGTCAGTCGCTGACAGGCTCCATGCCGCCATTCTTCCCGTGAACCCCCTGCGCGCTGCGGCTTCGCGAGGAGCCAGCAGCGGGAGGACCCACGTGTCCCGCGTCAGCGTGTCGGCTTCTGCCGCGTAGGTCATTGGTATCCTCGAATGCCACATGTGTTTGGCTGGACTTCCGATGTTTGAGTCCGTGCGACATTCTAACAGCACCAGAACAAAAAAGAAAAGGAAATAAAAAAAGGATTTTCCTGTAATCTGATTGGCATCCGAAACTTAGTACATTTGTTCCAAAGCCGTACTATTGCCCTTCCCTCTTCCCCCATGCCTCCGTGTCGCTCCGTACCAGAACCGAGCCTAGCTCCAAGGACCTGCGGGCGAAGTTCGGCAAGGACGGAGTGAGCTTCGATGACGGGCTGGGCGGCCTGCCACGTGTCACTCTCACAGACGCCTCCGGAAGGTGCGCCGATGCCTTCCCTCTCGCATTTCCCGTTGCTTTCATCCGCCATATTTCTCCGAAACGTGCCCTTAACTGGTTCTGTAGTCCCACCCAAATGATGCTGACGCATTCTTCCTGCCTCGTCTCCTCTCCATTTTCTCCTTCCCTCTCCTTGCCCCTCTCTTCGCGTCTGCTATATCCTTATCTACCTTACCTTCACTCAAACTCGGATTTCTCCATCTCTGCTTCATCCTTGTCAGCACGGCCGAGGTATACCTCTACGGCGCCTGCACGACTTCCTGGAAGCTTCCGTCGGGCGAGGACCTGCTGTTCGTGCGCCCCGACGCGGTGTTCACGGGTGCCAAGCCCATCAGCGGCGGCATCCCGCACTGCTTCCCGCAGTTCGGCCCGGGCGCCATGCAGCAGGTACTATGACGTCATGCAGCAGGTACGGTGACGTCATGCCACAGCTGGGATGGCGTCCTGTAATATGAGTGATGGCGTCATGTAGTCGGGTGTGATGACGCCATGCTGTATCTTTGGTTATGTCGTCTCCGAATGATCACATTCAATGCACTTCCCCATCCCTTCCCCCATCTCTTCCCGACCATCCCTTCCAATTTCTCTTCCCATTCATCTCTCCACCTCCCGACCGCCCATCCCTCTCCCCTGCTCCTTGCAGCACGGTTTTGCGCGCAACCTGACGTGGGACGTGGAGGCAGCGGAGGGGGGCGCGTCCCCCTCGCTCACCCTCGTCCTCACCGACAACGAGTACTCGCGGGCCATGTGGGACTTCGCCTTTAAAGCCACCTTCAAGGTACCTCTTGTCTTCTCACTCACTCACCTTCTCATTCTCCCTCTCACTCACTCCCCCCATCCTCGCTCTCTCCGACAACGAATACTAGCACACGATGTGGGACTCCGCCTTTAAGGCCACCTTCAAGGTACCTCTCCCCCTGTCTCTCACTCCCTCACTCACTTTCTCACTCCCTCCCTCACCCACTCACTCCCTTCACCGCGCCCTCACCAACAATGACTACTCGCCGTCCATGTGGCATTTTGCCTTCAGAGCCACCTTCATGGTTGGTGTCTCCTGATTCCCTCGCTCCCTTTCTCACTCTTTCCCTCACTCTCACTCACCTTCACTCCCTCGCTCACCCACTTTTCACTAATTCTCACTCACGTACCACTCACTCACTTCCGCAGCACCCTTTCCCTCTCCCGTGACGACTATTCCCCCCCCGCCTCCCCCCCCCCTCCCTTCATTCCCCCCACCCTCTTCACGCAGATCTCCCTGTCAGAGGGCAAGCTGGAGACGGCCTTCACAGTGGCCAACACAGACAAGCATTTGTTTCTTGCCGTGCATTACAATTTCTCTTCCTCCTTCACTCACACCCCTCACCCCCTGAAACCCCTTTGCAGATCTCTTTGTCAGACGGCAAGCTGGAGACGGTCTTCACGGTGGTCAACACGGACAACAAACATCTTTTCTGTTGAGATGCACAAAATTCTTCCCAAACATTCTTCTCTCATCCTTCCTTAACTCCTCCCACCCCGCCAACCCCTCTTTGCAGATCTCCCTGTCTGAGGGCAAGCTGGAGACGGTCTTCACGGTGGCCAACACGGACAGCAAGCCCTTCACCTTCACCACCGCTCTGCACTCCTACTTCCGCGTATGTAGCCTACCCTGGCCGCACCATGCCTGCATGTCTTGGCAGCATGCATGCTACCATGCCATGCCATGGCCGCATGTCTCGGCACAGCACCCTACCATGCCATGCCATGGCTGCATGCCTTTTAGCAGCGCAACATTGAGTTACCCTGCTGGTCTGCCCAGTCGTTTCTAGGTCAGGCTGGGCCGCATGCCCGCTCATTGCTTTTGCTGCCCACGCTTTCCCTTCATCCACCCAACTCCAACCTACTCCAATCCTTTCCAATAGAATCAAATCGTATCCAATCCAGCCCAATCCATTCCAATTTAACCCAATCTAAACCAACTCAATTCGATCCAATCCAATCCAAAGCGCCAAGACATGCAGTCAAATGGGCGCTCTCTTCTCCTCCCATCCCCTCCTCCCGTCCCACGTGGCAGGCTGCTATTGGCGGAGTGAAGGTGACAGGGCTCAAGGGCGCCAAGTCCCTGAACAAGGACCCCGACCCCACCAACCCCATTCCAGGCGTGGAGGAGAGGTGAGGGGGAGGGGAGAGGGGGTGAAACAGCGGTGGTTTGAGGCAGTGGAGAAAACAAGTCTATATGGTAATGGAATTGGTAGTCCCTGAACAAGGACCCCGACCCCACCAACCCCATTCCAGGCGTGGAGGAGAGGTGAGAAGGGGGAGAAGGCTCACAGGTGAGTGGCGGAAATAGGTGCTACTCTGCGAATCCCTGAACAAAGACCCCGACCCAACCAATCCCATCCCAGACGTCGAGGAGAGGTAAGGGGGAGGGTAGAGTGGGTGAAACAGAGGTGGTTTGAGACAGTGGAGAAAACAGGTCTATTGGGTAATGGGAATGCTAATCCCTGAACAGACACCCTGACCCAACCAACCCCGTCTCAGGCGTGGAGGAGAGGTGAGTGAGGCACACAAGTGGGTGGAAAGGAAGGCACACAGGTGCGTGGCGGAAGGGAGTGGGGGCGGAAGGAGAAGACAGGTTGAAATGCTAGGTGATGAAAAAAGGACCCTGGCCCTGCCCGCCACACTTCATTGCGAGAGTGGAGGTGGGGTGCGGACACAGGTTGGGTGGGGGTGCGGAAGAGAGATAACTGCATCCTTCACTATGGCAGGAACCCTTTCCCCGCCTGCATGTATCTCAACATGCAGGACTGCATGTTGAGGAGCTCGTGCTGGACAACGGGCTGGACAATGGGCTGGACAATGAAGGCAGAAGCTTTATCCTCCCATCTTGCTCCCTCCACCTTATCACCTCTCCAGGGACGAAGTCACCTTCCCCGGCTTCGTGGACTGCATGTATCTCAACACCCCCAAAGAGCTCGTGCTGGACAACGGGCTGGGCAGTCACGACAAAGACTTTTTTCTCACTTCTTGTTCCCCTCCACATTGTCACTTCTCCAGGGACGAGGTGACCTTCCCTGGCTTTGTGGACTGCATGTATCTCAACACACCGGAGGAGCTGGTGCTGGACAACGGGCTGGGCAGGAAGCTAGCCATCCGCAACAAGGGGTGGACTGATGCCGTCGTGTGGAGCCCCCACCTCACCATGCCCGCCTGCTACCTCGACTTTGTCTGCGTTGAAAATGCCAAGGTGAGCTGTTTGGCTGTCTGGTTGCCGCTTCTCTGTTCACTTGCTCGTTCACTCACCTCCTCTCTGCGTTGCCCCGTTCCTGTTTTGCCTGTGTGTGATGCCTGCTCTTTCCCCTGCTCTGCTTGTCCCATGTGCTCTCTCCTCGCTCACTATCACCTCTTCAATAAGTGCACCTCTCTTCACCTCTCTTCACCGCTCGTCCCTGTCATCTCATGTCATCTCCTCTCGCCACCTCTTCAGCTGTCGGAGGTGGAGTTGCAAGCAGGCCAGACGTGGACTGCAGAGCAGGAGTTGGTCGCACTGTAGTTGTGCGGCTCTGCGATTGGTGCTGTCATGTGTTGATTGTGTGTTGCTGAATTGCTTGTGTAGTGCCCCAATTGCTGCTGTTATAAAAGATTTTTCAAGCCAACAAATGATGCCTGCATGAGTTGACTCACACCACCACCTCGCACGATTCTACCACCATTTGTCAGGGTCCACCCTTGATGCGGATTGCTACCGCCACTTGCCATGGCATTGCCAATTACCCACAATACACTGGCATGACTTGTGTGTCATGCAGCTAAGGCAAGGCTTCAACCAACGCAATCCCAGCAGTTTCAAGCTGGGCATGCTTCATGTATATACACTTACGTGCAACACAACGAATCGGTTTACCAGTACCATATATCTGCACCACACCAATGATTCTACAGTATGCAGGAGCTGGTGTAGAGTCACTCAGCAGCTGGTCTCAGCACCCTAGCCAGCAGCTCCGGTTGCGTGCCTTCATCTGCAAACCGCACCATGCGTCTTCTCCGATTCGCCTTACCTTCCACTCCATCCGCTGCTGCTGCTGCCTCAATGGTGGACCCCTTGAGCTGCATGGCAGCACTGCCTCCCCTTTCTGTTGTTCCACAACCATCCTTATCCGTTCCATTTCTCAAATGTCCCTCCTCCTCTAGATGCCCCTCTTCCTCTGCATGCCCTTCCTCACGTGCGCCTCCATTCTCCATTGCAGAAGAACCCTCTCCTGCCTGCCCTGCAAATGCACCACTAACCCCTTCCCCTCTGCTGCAAACAACAGAAGAATGTGAATTGTGAGCAGCAACCGCCCCTGCCATCCCCCCTGCCCGTGCCTCCGCTACCCTTGCTGCACTGCCTGCTGTGTCATCCCCAACAATAAGGGGAACCGTGCTGTTCCCTGCAACCTCACTGCTGGCACTAGGTCTACCTCCCTCACATACACCCTCTCTGGCAACACCTGTACCTCCCTCACATGTGCCTACCAAAAAGGTTGACCTGTGCTGGCCACCCCCGGATGGGGTTTGGGTGAGAGACAAGCTGCACTTATTGACTGTTGACTGGGCGTCTGGGGGGAGAGGGGCTGTGAGAGGGCTGGCTGGGGCAGGAGGCTGTAGGGAAGTTGTTGGCTGGGAGAAGGAAGGGGAGAGTGAGAGATTGGAGGGAGGTAGAGACTGTCGGGACGACAGGGGGGTAGGGGAACCGAGGGGGTGGGCGGAGAAGGGGTTGGTGGCGGAAAAGGGTTGGGAGGTGGAGTGAGGGTTGGCGGGGGAGAAGGGTTGAGAGGAAGAGAGGGGTTTGGCGGGCGAGGTTGATGTGGAGGGCGAGAGGGGCAGGGAGGAGTCGGCGGTGCGGACGAGCTTCAGTGCCAGCAGAATGGCATTGCGCGCCACGGCTTCCCTTGCTTGGCGCTGCTTCGCCTGCGCTCCACTGTCAGGCAGGCGCTGCGAAGAAGAGGGTAAACATGGGGAAGAGGGAAGGGGAGGAGGGGAGGATCAGAAGGGCGAGCAGGACGGTGTTGTGTGCCACTGCCTCCCTTGCTTGCCTCTGCTTCGCCTGTGGGCCCACTGTCAGGCAGGCGCTGCACCGAAGAGGGGACGCAAGGGGAAGCAAGAGAAGGAAAGCAGGTGAGGTGGGTCAGAAGGGTGAGCAGAATGGCATTGCGTGCCACGGCCTCCCTTGCCTGCCTCTGCTTTGCCTGCGCTCCACTGTCGGGCAAGCGCTGTGGGAAGGAGAGGAGACGTCCGGAGGGAGGGGGAATGAGCGCAGCGCGGAAGGAGGGAGGGGAGGAAAAGAGGTGCAAGCAGGTTGTCACCTCTCGTGCTTGCACAAGATATACCTGCGCTAGACATGCCTGCACTGCACCAAAACAAACGGGCCATTTCTTGGGGTGACTTTACCAGATGTACCTGCACCAGACGTACCTGCACCAGACGTACCTGCAGAATGTGCAGCATGTGCTCTTCCAGCGTGCCTGCCATGGCCAGTGTCTCCACCGTGATTGGCCGAGAGGCTCCCATGCGATGCGCCCTCGACACCATCTGCTCCTCCACACTGTCAGGGGATGAGGAGGGGGGAAAGGGAGGGGGAAGAGGAGATGGGGAAAGGAACGAGGGGAAGGAGATGGGGTGGCATTGGAGGGTATCGGATGGGGTGGAGTAGTTGCTGTGGAAAATAGGCCATGCATGTTAGAATACCTCTATTCAATTTATCCTGCATATTCTAGTTTGCTTGTCTAGAGTTACGCACCCAAACCTGATTTGGGTGTACAACTGGGGTTTACCCTAGTTGTGGTTTGGTTCCAACCTTGGCCAAAATGTTTGGCCCCCAAAAGTTGGGTTAGAGAATTATTGGAGCCCTATGATTATTGGAGGCTCCAATAATTCCTCCAACCCAATTATTGGTGGGGGCCAATAATCTTGGCCACGCTCCCAACCAACCCCACTCTCCTAGCTCAACTATGTATACCCCTGCTTTTCATTCTAAGATCAATCCTTTCAATTTTCAGTCCTCATCCTTTCACAGGATTCTAACATGTTATCAGAGCATTTTGGCTCACGCCCCTTCCGATCCTAGGACCATGTGTCTTGCGTGTACTTCCACGCTTGCTCCGCCTTTCGCGAGACCATCGGCTGCCTTGCGCAAGGCCACCCTCCCGTCTCGTCCAGCAGCCGCGCGATTTTATGGCGATTTCGGCGCCATACGCCCGCCGAATCGCAACCGTCGCGGCCGTCGCGACCAGCAGCCGCGCGGACGCGATTTCGCGGCGATTTCGCCGCCATACGCCCGCCGAATCGCGACCGTTGCGGCCGTCGTGAATAGCAGCCGCGCGGACGCGATTTTGCGGCGTTTTCGCATCGCCACCGCTGCGCGGCCGTCGCCTCCGCCCTCGCGCCTAACGGCGCCCTGCTACCGTCGCTTCCGCCCTCGCGCTTAACGGCGCTTCCCCCTACGCACTCGCTTCCTCCTCCCTCGGGCCATCCGGCCCTCCTCCCCCTTCCCCCTAGCTTCCTCCTCCCTCGGGCCATCCAGCCCTCCTCCCCCTTCCCCCTCGCTTCCTCCTCCCTCGGGCCATCCAGCCCTCCTCCCCCTTCCCCCTCGCTTCCTCCTCCCTCGGGCCATCCAGCCCTCCTCCCCCTCCCCCCTCGCTTCCTCCTCCCTCGGGCCATCCAGCCCTCCTCCCCCTTCCCCCTCGCTTCCTCCTCCTTCGGGCCATCCAGCCCTCCTCCCCCTTCCCCCTCGCTTCCTCCTCACTCGGGCCATCCGGCCCTCCTCCCCCTCCCCCCTCACTTCCTCCTCCCTCGGGCCATCCAGCCCTCTCCCCCCCTTCCCCCTCGCTTCCTCCTCCCTCGAGCCACCCATCCCTCCTCCCCCTTCCCCCTAGCTTCCTCCTCCCTCGGGCCATCCAGCCCTCCTCCCCCTTCCCCCTCGCTTCCTCCTCCCTCGGGCCATCCAGCCCTCCTCCCCCTTCCCCCTCGCTTCCTCCTCCCTCGGGCCATCCAGCCCTCCTCCCCCTTCCCCCTCGCTTCCTCCTCCCTCGGGCCATCCAGCCCTCCTCCCCCTTCCCCCTCGCTTCCTCCTCCTTCGGGCCATCCAGCCCTCCTCCCCCTTCCCCCTCGCTTCCTCCTCCCTCGGGCCATCCGGCCCTCCTCCCCCTTCCCCCTAGCTTCCTCCTCCCTCGGGCCATCCAGCCCTCCTCCCCCTTCCCCCTCGCTTCCTCCTCCCTCGGGCCATCCAGCCCTCCTCCCCCTTCCCCCTCGCTTCCTCCTCCCTCGGGCCATCCAGCCCTCCTCCCCCTCCCCCCTCGCTTCCTCCTCCCTCGGGCCATCCAGCCCTCCTCCCCCTTCCCCCTCGCTTCCTCCTCCCTCGGGCCATCCAGCCCTCCTCCCCCTTCCCCCTCGCTTCCTCCTCACTCGGGCCATCCAGCCCTCCTCCCCCTCCCCCCTCGCTTCCTCCTCCCTCGGGCAATCCAGCCCTCCCCCCCCCTTCCCCCTCGCTTCCTCCTCCCTCGAGCCACCCATCCCTCCTCCCCCTTCCCCCTCGCTTCCTCCTCCCTCGGGCCATCCAGCCCTCCTCCCCCTTCCCCCTCGCTTCCCCCCCGCAGCCCTCCCGCTGCCGTCGCCGTCCCCCTTAGCCGCCGCAGCCCTCCCGCTGCCGCTGCCGTCTCCCTTCGCAGCCGCGGCTCTCCCACTTCCACCGCTGCCGCCGCCGCAGCCCTCCCGCTGCCGCCGCCGTTCCCCTTCCGCCGCCGCAGCCCTCCCGCTGCCGCCGCCGTCCCCCTTCGCAGCCGCAGCCCTCCCGCTGCCGTCGCCGTCCCCCTTAGCCGCCGCAGCCCTCTCGCTGCCGCTGCCGTCTCCCTTCGCAGCCGCGGCTCTCCCGCTGCCGCCGCCATCCCCCTTCCGCCGCCGCAGCTCTCCCGCTGCCGCCGTTCCCCTTCCGCCGCCGCAGCCCTCCCGCTGCCGTCGCCGTCCCCCTTAGCCGCCGCAGCCCTCTCGCTGCCGCTGCCGTCTCCCTTCGCAGCCGCGGCTCTCCCGCTGCCGCCGCCATCCCCCTTCCGCCGCCGCAGCTCTCCCGCTGCCGCCGCCGTCTCCCTTCGCCGCCGCAGCCCTCCCGTTGCCGCTGCCGTCCCCCTTCCGCCGCCGCAGCTCTCCCGCTGCCGCCGCCGTTCCCCTTCCGCCGCCGCAGCTCTCCCGCTGCCGCCGCCGTTCCCCTTCCGCCGCCGCAGCCCTCCCGCTGCCGCCGCCGTCCCCCTTCGCAGCCGCAGCCCTTCCGCTGCCGTCGCCGTCCCCCTTAGCCGCCGCAGCCCTCTCGCTGCCGCTGCCGTCTCCCTTCGCAGCCGCGGCTCTCCCGCTGCCGCCGCCATCCCCTTCCGCCGCCGCAGCTCTCCTGCTGCCGCCGTTCCAAAATCTGGATATCCGCACGGATATCCGTCTTTCCAGCGGATACCCATAATCCGAATATCCGTTCGGAAATCTGTCTCTCCTGCGAATATCCAAAATCCGGATATCCGTTCGGATATCCAATATCTTGATATCCGTACGGATATCCAAAATCCGGATACCCGTCTTTTCTGCGGATATCCAAAATCCGGATATCCGTCTTTTCTGCGGATATCCAAAATATGTATATCCGTTCGAATATACATGGTACATGCACTACAGGCGCGCATACCGACAAAACTGACCAGAGCATAACTCATGTTGGGTAAGATGCAGTTAGTACCATATTCTTACCAGTCCACTAGATTAGGCCTTGTACTTCAACAACACTAGCTTATAACCTTTACAATCCACATAATTTGGGTGATTTCAAAGTTTCAGTTGTACCTACACATAAGCATGCATACTGAACGAATCGACCGATGCATTATTCTCCCTGTACAAACACAATCAATACCATCTGTATTCCCTTTTCCTTTAACCTATACCATTCCCCACCCCCCAACCATGTTTGAAATCTATGTAATTTAGCAGATATAGACATTTCAGTCGTACATGGTACATGCACTACAGGCGCGCATACCGACCAAACTGACCAGCGCATTACTTATGTTTGTAGAGGTACAGTTAGTACCATATTCTTACCAGTCCACTAGATTAGGCCTTCTACTTCAACAACACTAGCTTATAACCTTTCCAATCCACATAATTTGGGAAATTTCAAAGTTTCAGTGGTACCTACTGTCAGAAACAATAGGAGTGGGGCCTAGGCTTAGTAGCCTAGGCCCACACTAAGAGGTAGTAGGATGTGCCCTAGGACTAGGGTTTTGGGTATGCGAAGGAGAATGGAGAATGGTTGAACTAGCAAGCAGGAGGACACAAATAGCAAACCCTAAGGGGTTGTACTCACTATTGAGCACCCCACTGCAGGCTAGACAAATAACATAATCTGACACACCCCCATAGCCAAAGTGGGGTGTAATCAGCACAATCAGCAGTCACAGCAAAAGTTCACAATTATCAGCAAAGCTAGAGGCTATCACAGAGGGCAAGTGAGGAGGAGGAGGTACTATGAAGGGAGAGAAGATTGGAGACGACGACTGAAGCTGCAGACACACAGGCGCAGCAGGCTCTCTGAGCTACCAGGACAGTGCGCCCCGGACTACAGGTGCTGCAGCCTCCTCCAACTGTCCCACACCCCCCTACACACATCCCCTGTTTCACCTCTAGCTCCACTCCCACATCACCCCCCTAGCGCCACTCCCTTCGGCTCCCACACCTCCACCCCCCTCAGCGGCAGCTGCAGCAGTGGGAGACGAAGGAGGAGGAAGGGACGACGCACACGGAGCACCCCCATACCTGTCACCCCCACACTCCTGTCCTGGGGACGGGGGGGGGGGGCAGCTGAACAGGGCGCACGAGGGCGCGGGTAGTAGTAGAGCGCACGAGGGCGCGGGTAGTAGTAGAGCGCACGAGGGCGCGGGCAGCAGCAGGGCGCACGAGGGCGCGGGCAGCAGCAGAGCGCACGACGGCACGGGTAGTAGTAGAGCGCACGAGGGCGCGGGTAGTAGTAGAGCGCACGAGGGCGCGGGTAGTAGTAGAGCGCACGAGGGCGCGGGCAGCAGCAGGGCGCACGAGGGCGCGGGCAGCAGCAGAGCGCACGAGGGCGCGGGTAGTAGTAGAGCGCACGAGGGCGCGGGTAGTAGTAGAGCGCACGAGGGCGCGGGCAGCAGCAGGGCGCACGAGGGCGCGGGCAGCAGCAGAGCGCACGAGGGCGCGGGTAGTAGTAGAGCGCACGAGGGCGCGGGCAGCAGCAGGGCGCACGAGGGCGCAGAGAGCACGGGCAGCTGCTGCAGAGGTCCAGGGGCGGCTGCTCCAGGGGCCAGAGGCGGCTGCTGCAGGGGCGGCTGCTCCAGGGGCGGCTGCTGCTGTGGCGGGCGACTCCAGGGGCGGCTGCTGCAGTGGTGGGCGGCTCCAGGGGCGGCTGCTGCAGTGGCGGGCGACTCCAGGGGCGGCTGCTGCAGTGGCGGGCGGCTCCAGGGGCGGCTGCTGCTGTGGCGGGCGACTCCAGGGGCGGCTGCTGCAGTGGCGGGCGGCTCCAGGGGCGGCTGCTGCAGTGGCGGGCGACTCGAGGCGCGGGCTGGCCTGGCGCAGGCCGTACGGGCCGCGCGCAGGCTGTACGGGCCGCGCGCGGGCCCGACGTAGGTCGCGTGGGCCATGACGGGCGACGGGGGGCGACGCGCGGGTCCCCGTCGCCCGTCGCAGCGCCTCCCGGGGGCGACGCGCGGAGTGACGGGGCAGAAAGCCGCCGCGCGCCTCGGGGCGCACAGCGGGCAGAAAACCGCCGCACGCTCCGAGCGCGCGGCGGGATGAAAAATCCGTCGCACGCCACGGGGCGTGCAACGCATTGAGTAGCAGTAGCAGCGGAAGCAGTAAGGTGGTGGGCCCATTGAGGTAAGCGGCAGGAACGTGCTCGCTCTAGATACCATGTTAGAAACAATAGGAGTGGGGCCTAGGCTTAGTAGCCTAGGCCCACACTAAGAGGTAGTAGGATGTGCCCTAGGACTAGGGTTTTGGGTATGCGAAGGAGAATGGAGAATGGTTGAACTAGCAAGCAGGAGGACACAAATAGCAAACCCTAAGGGGTTGTACTCACTATTGAGCACCCCACTGCAGGCTAGACAAATAACATAATCTGACACCTACACACAAGCATGCATACTGACTGAATGGACCGACGCATTATTCTCTCTGTACAAATACAATGAATACCATATGTATTTCCATTTCCTTTAAATTAAACCATTCCCCACCCCCCGACCATGTTTTAACCTATCGGATCTATGTAATTTGGCAGATATAGACATTCAGGTCGTACATGGTATATGCACTACAGGCGCGCATACTGACCAAACTGACCAGCGCATAACTTATTTGGTAAAGATGCAGTTAGTACCATATTCTTACCAGTCCACTAGATTATGCCTTCTACTTCAACAACACTAGCTTATAACCTTTCTGATCCACATAATTTGGGAGTTTTCAAAGTTTCAGTTCTGCCTTGTACCTACACACAAGCGTGCATACTGACCGAACCGACCGACGCATTATTCTCTCTGTACACATACAATGAATATCATTTGTATCATCATTTCCTTTAAATTATGCCATTCCCCACCACCCAACTATGTTATAACCTGTCGGATCTATGTAATTTGGCAGATATAGACATTCAAGTTGTACATGGTACATGCACCAGGGCCCGTGCTAGGTTTTGGGACACCCTGAGCCCTCAGGGCACTTTTCTAGAATCCAAAAAAATGCCCTGATTTCTCAGGGCAAATCTTCAGAGCCTTCCTGATTGGTCAGGGCTTTTGCAGAAAATAATCCTGACCTGTCAGGGCAAAAATTGTAGTGTTCAGGGTTCTGATTTTATCACAAACAGACCAGACCAGACTCTGTTTAGCATAGCAGAGCAGCCGCAGCCGAACTTTGTTAAACTGTATTATGCTTGTAGGCTGTAGTGGGGTAGCCAATATGGGGTACAACCTCAACTAGGGTTTCATATTTGTACCCAAACTTCTGTTAGTTCATTCATTCTTGGCTAGTTATTCTGACATGGTATTCAGAGCAGGAGGTCCCTAGGACCTACCGACCGTTTTTTTTTTTTAAGGGCCCACCACCGCTCGCATGCGGTTACCACGCTACCCCGTGCCCTAGCCTCGTAGCGCCCTCGTGCGCCCTCGTTAGCGCCCTCGCGCGCCCCTCGTTAGCGCCCTCGCGCGCACCCTCGTTAGCGCCCTCGCGCGCCCCTTCGTTAGCGCCCTCGCGCGCCCCTTGCTAGCGCCCTCGCGCGCCCCTCACTAGCGCCCTCGCGCGCCCCTCGCCGAGCCGCCCGCTCGCAGCCCGCCCGCCCGCTCGCTGCCCGCTTCGCGGCCCGCCCGCTACGCAGCCCGCCCGCCCGCTCGCTGCCCGCTTCGCGGCCCGCCCGCTTCGCAGCCCGCTCGCTCGCTGCCCGCTTCGCGGCCCGCCCGCTTCGCAGCCCGCTCGCCCGCTCGCTGCCCGCTTCGCGGCCCGCCCGCCCGCTCGCTGCCCGCTTCGCGGCCCGCCCGCTTCGCAGCCCGCTCGCTCGCTGCCCGCTTCGCGGCCCGCCCACTTCGCAGCCCGCCCGCCCGCTCGCTGCCCGCTTCGCGGCCCGCCCGCCTCGCAGCCCGCTCGCCCCGCTGCCCGCTTCGCGGCCCGCCCACTTCGCAGCCCGCCCGCCCGCTAGCTGCCCGCTTCGCGGCCCGCCCGCTTCGCAGCCCGCTCGCCCCGCTGCCCGCTTCGCAGCCCGCCCGCCCGCCCGCTGCCCGCTTCGCGGCCCGCCCGCCTCGCAGCCCGCTCGCCCCGCTGCCCGCTTCGCAGCCCGCCCACTTCGCAGCCCGCCCGCCCGCTAGCTGCCCGCTTCGCGGCCCGCCCGCTTCGCTGCCCGCTCGCAGCGCCGCCTCACTGCCCGCTTGCTGCGTCGCCCGCCCACACCGCTGCCCGCTTCGCAGCTCGCCCGCCGCGCTTCTCACCTGCTGCTCCCTGCCTGTGCACTGCCGCTTTCTCCTGCTGTGGCTACTAGCTTCGCTCTAGCGCGTCCCCTCTGCTGCTGCCGCTGCTCTGCTGTGCCCTCACGCCTGAGCTATGGCCTCTATTCGCGTTCTTTCCTTCGATGCTGAGGGCCGTCCCGTGCAGTTCACTTCCTGGCTCGACGACCTGCAGTTGTATCTTATGAGCAATAGCACGGACCACATCTCCCTCTATGACTACGCGTCTGGTGCTGCCGCTGCTCCTGCTGCCACAGCCGAGCTTAGTGTTCGTTCCCACTGGCAGACTCGTGACGCAGCTGCTCGCCTAGCCATTCGCAGTCACCTCCCGCTAGCTGAGCTCGAGCATTTTGGCGACTGCAAATCCGCTAAGGCCCTGTATGATGCTGTCGTCGCTCGCTACTCCTCGCCTGCCACAGCCGAGCTTAGCCGCCTCATGCTGCCGTACCTGTTCCCCGATCTGTCCACCTTTACTACAGTCGCCGATCTTATCACCCACCTTCGCACTAGTGATGCTCGCCTGCGTGCCGCCCTTCCCACCGAGTTCTGCGCTAAGAACCCCCCTCCACTGTACTGGACACTCCACTTCATAGTCACCCGTCTCCCTGACACCCTCCGCTCAGTTCGAGACCACTTCCTTGCTCGCTGTCCCACTGAGCTCACAGTCGCCCTCCTAGAGGAGCAGCTGCTCGCGGCCGAAAAGAGCATTGTAGCTGTCGGTGCTGCTCGTGGCG